GCTACACTGATGGCTGTGAGTAATAAAGTCCTTTGTCTCCGAATCAGGAGTCTCCTGTCTTCTGCTAGCATCCCTGAAAACGTGGCAGTTTAACTTGTTAGACTGCAAGATGAGTAAAAAACCTTTGATGGTTCTTGACAGGTTCTATCTCCATTGTTCATATTCTACCATCTGATTGGAATGTCTATGACAGCCACCTAACTGGTCTTCCCTCTTTACCTTTGCCTTTAAGGCAGTGTCTTCAGCAGCTTCATTTCCCCCACTACAATGTGAGATCATGAGAGAGAAAATCATTAAATTCCTCTGCTTAAAATATTTCAGTGGCTTCATTTTCCATATAGACTGAAATTTAAAATTTTGCTATGGCCTATAAAGTCCTACATGATCTAGCTTTCCTGCCCACCTTGCATATAAAATCACTCTTCCATCTACTCATTAAACTATAGCTGTATACACCTTTCTTTTCTAAGACTTTTTTTTGCCTAGGGGTGTTTGGACTTGCTGTTTCTTTTGACTAGCTCATAGAATTCCCATGGCTAGCTCCTTCCCATCCTTTGGTGGAGTATTTTGAAACAGATACCAGGGCGCCTGGGTGGCTTAGTCTGTTAAGCATCCGACTTTCGCTTAGGTCATGATCTCACGGTTCGTGGGTTCGAGCCCTGCGTCGGGCTCTGTGCTGAGCCCGGCCTATTTCAGAGTCTGAAAGCCTATTTCAGAGTCTGTGTCTCCCTCTCTCTCTGACCCTCCCCTGCTCATGCTGTCTCTCTCTGTCTCTCTCTCCTAGAAATAAATAAAAAAAAGAAAAGAAAAGAAACAGATACAGTAGGAGTGGCAAACTTTTTGAAAGAATTTGAGATTTGATCTTTTTTTAATCTTCAAAAGAGTTGTCATGGGTAAATCAGAATTTCTCTGTAAATGACAGAATTTCTCTGTCATTCTAGAATGACCTCCAAAGTCACTGCCTACTGTGGGTAAAGTGCTTCCTCTGCACCACTCCCTATAAAATCCATCTTCTTGATACTTAGAATTGTCCTTTGCTTGGTAACATGTCTACCACATAGGCGCTTGCAAGAAACCCAGAATCTTGAGCCCCCTCTTTTCTTACTGGATCAGAATCTTTTATTTTAGCATGGTGCCCAGATGAGTTGTTTTCACACTAAAGTTTGAGAAAGCAATCCATTGGCATCACCCCCTTTTCCTCCCATCACAGCACATAAACCACTGCATGAATTACCCTGCATTTTCATCCATTCATTATTTCCTCTCATCCCTATCCTCCCCTCACTTGCACCAGACTGCAAATTATAAAAGGGGAGAGAGATGTGTCTCTGTTGATAGCTTTATCTCCAAGGCCCATAATAGGCACTCAAATATTTTTGGAAGACATGAATGAACAAAACATTCAGTAATTACTATTAATTCTGATAACTTTATATCCAAACATGACCTAGTCTTTATTTATACCATGTAAGCTATGATTGGATCCCTGATGACTTAATGTTTGAGTCTTACAGTATCTTGTGATACAGAAGGAGATGACCTCAAAATTTCTCAAAGATCCTTTGAATTTTTGGATTCTTACCCAAATTCTTGCTTGCTGGGTCTTGGATGCTTACTAGCTTCAATTAGTTTTTCTTGTTCTAGGCTCCACCTATCCTCCATATTAAAAACAGAGAAGTCTGTAGTGTAATATGAAAGGTATTGATTTGCATCTGAAGAACTTATCCTACTGTTTCTTAACTGTGTCACCTGGGAAGTTAATTATCCTCCAAGTTTGTTTACTCATCTTTCCAATGGATAAAGACATTTGCCTTTCAGGGTGCTAATGAGGATAAGTGAACTCAACTTATGCAAAGCATCTAGAGTAAGTTTCAGATTTGATCAGTAAGACTTAGTTCCTTTATTTCCCTCTTACCTTTCATCACTTTTGGCCTAAGCAAACAACCAACCAAAAGAAAATAAAATTTTAAAAATAGCAAGTCCTCGGAGAAGCCCTTATTCATTGTTGAAATGAGTTACTCAAATTCATTATTTAAATGAGTTCCTCTGCCTGTTAAAAGTTGACCACATGGCCAATTCCCATAGGTTTCTCACTAGACTCCTCCCCCCAAGCCATTTTCTACTTGAGTAAGACCAATGTTACCTTTTTCTGCTTGGTTCATTTCCTGTCTTGCCTCAAGAATATTCCCTACATGCCTGTCTTCTCTAACCGCCGTAACTGCACTTTCTCACCAAGGTACAGTATGAAATCACACCTCTTGAAATTCCTGGAAAGACCATTTTTACTGATCCAACTCTTCTTTCAAACCTGTAGGCATTTAAGAGCTTGTATCACCAATTTAATTATAAACTATATTGATTTTGAATTCTTTCATGCTTGTTAATTTTTTTCCCATCTGGGATATAAGCTTTTTGAAGACTAGAATAGGGCTTTATTTATTTACAATTCACAAGGGGTGGCAAAGTACTGAGTCATAAACCTTGTTGACTGTTTGATGGCCAAATTCCTACTAGCTGCCTGTAAATGGTTGGGGACTTCTCTAATGCTGCTCGTTCTTTCTGAACCACCTGATTTCCCTGTGGGGAATTTTACATCTCAGTCTTTGGAATTCCTAAAACAATAGTCTCATATGCTTATAGGGTCATGCATATGCATAAGTGCAAGGAGCCAAGCATAAGCATCCTGGGATTGGTAGTTGTGCACTCGGTCTAGAGGCTTAAACACTAAGGTCCAGCTCAGTGTTGCATGCAGGAATTTGGGTCCTCATGTTTTACTTTGTTAAGAGAAACCAAGAAAATGGATATTTCTGTAAAATTCGTGAGTGTTCTAATTTTGACAAATATTTCAAATAACTTCAAAACAATGCAGGCCACACTAAAGACCTTTGTGAGACACTAAGAACATATAATTCCTTGAAGCAGTGGTTTTCAGTCTTGGCTGCAAGAAAGGGGGACTTTTATTTGGGGGACTTTGAAAAATCCAGATGTCCAGGCCATAGTCCAGGCCAATTAAATCAGAATCCTTGTGGCCATGCCCCATGTATCGATATATTTTTTTTTTTCAAAGCTACCCAGTTGATTCAATGTACAGTCAAATTTGAAAACCAATGGGTTGGAGGCCCCATTCTGCCTTCTCATTTCTTTTGTAACTTTTGGCATGGTATTATTTTTAAGGGATATGTGAAGCCTCAGATTTGGATGCTTTAATTAGCATGGGCCTGAACAAACACTCTACAACCTCTGCCCCATTTTCCATATGCCATGTGGTGAAACTTCTGGCATCTTCAGTTAATTTCATTTAGTCAGTTGATCTCCTATATTGCTATCATGTTAAACAAACAAAGTCATTTCTTTTGTCTTTTGGAAATAAATGCTAACTCATTCAATAAAATTAAACTTTTATGATGCTATTTGTTTATTCTCTGTAGTATTTTCTGTTCTGTTTTCTTATTAACTTTTTTGAGAGTGAATGGTTTCAGATCATATACCCAGGGTAAAATAATATTGTAACTGGTTCACAGCCCCAATATCCTAAATCAAGTCTGCTGAGGATGCTGCCTAAGAACTTAAAAAAATTCTTACAGATTTATGGAAGTGGATGTGCACATAAGGACGAAAGGCAGAAATGGCAGCATTAACTATAGTTATCCATTTTAATCCCCACACTAACAGTGCAGATTCCCCGGTGGCTCATATAATATGACCTTTGATTTTGCTGAGTCGGTTCTGATGATTTCTCTACTGACACATTTTCAAAAATTTTTATAGGTAGTCTTAGAATGCCTGACCATGACACCAACATTGAACTTAAGTTCTTTATTTTCCTTGCTCTTCCTTTAGTTTAGTCCGTAGTTTCAGTTATATTGTTGTGATTCATTTAAAAGATAAGATACATTAAGCTTTGCTAGTCTCTTGATGCCATGTTTTAAATAGATTTGTCTTCTTTTTAAGCTGCAATGTTCAAGATTTTGGTAATATAGGAATTGCTGGTAAATAGAAGATTTGGGGACTGTTAGAGTCTACAGAAGCACTTTGTCAAATTAAGGTGTAACAAGGAAATGCCTATGAAAAACTTTAGCCTATGACAACTTAAGACATATGGAGAATAACACCACTTGCCTCAAGGGAAAAAAGCCTTATACTCCTTGGAAGATACTAAAATCATAAATATAAATGCAAAAGTAACTGACTGATGGTTTCAATAATTTGAGAAAGTATAGAATGGTGAACTCTCTCTTTCAGAAGAGATGGTACTTATATTGATGCCCAGAAATTTGAACTATGCATTACTAAAGCCTTTATGAATACTAACTTAATTAGGTTACTTGGATATATGCAATAATATTTTTAACTAGTTCAAGGATTTTATATATACATATATATATTATATAATCCATATGTAATCTCATATGTACAAGAACTAAAGTTGTAGAACATGTATAACAAATTTATATTACATTTTAATCTGTTTTAGAGACCTAATGATGCTTATTTGAAGCTTGAGTGAAAGTGTTTAGATCTGATATCGGCTTCATGTTGCAAGTCTGTTTTAATTTACAGATGAATCTGTAGTACCCAGATCATCTTGTGTCTTATTTGAATCATTCTCACTAGGTTCTTAGTGGTTTAATTCTTGCCCTCTTGTGAATCACTTGCTAAACTTAATTAAAAGTTTTAGAGGGGTGTGTGTGTGTGTGTGTGTGTGTGTGTGTGTGTGTGTTGCATCTTTCTCCTACTAGATTATAAACTGCTTGAATGACCATGTCATTTACCTTTATCTCCCTTTCTGTGCCTAGCACAATGCTTTGCACATAGTACTCACTAATTAAATGTTTTTAAAACATACTGAATGATTTCCATATATACTGTGGTGGTTTATCACAGCATTTATAATTACCTACCTAATGACTGAGATGAAATAAGTTTATTTTAAATCCTACATAACAAAACATTGGCAGGATAAGGGAACAATGAATAGAAGAAACCATTCAAAGACTTACTCTGTAATCACTTGATGTCACATAAAATATAGGGAGGAAGGCCAGCCAGATGATGCATGTGGTATACATGGTAAAACCAATGAACTTGGCTTCGTTGAAATTTTCTGGGCACTTCCGAGTTTTGAAGGCATACACAGTGCATAAGATCACCAGGACCACATCGTAGCTGAGCGAGATCAACATGCTGGAATCTCTGACATTGCATTTTAAGATGACTGTCTCCCGCTTCTCTGGAAGGGTGTACCGCCTGGTGCCCGGAGCCTCCAGGATCAGCCACACGGACACCACCACAATTTGCACCAGTATCAGACCCAGGCAGATGAAAACCTGAGAACTTGGGCTGATGAATTTTGGCCTCTGAGCTCCATTCTTTACCCCATCGAAGATGCGGGCGATGCAGTTTGTCTTGGTCAGCAGGGCTGAGTAACAGACAGCAAAGGAGGTTCCCAGCCCTAGTCGACGCAACGCACAGATGACTGGTGATGGCTTGGCGATGAAGAAGAACGTCATGCAATATGACAGACCAACCCCAAACAACAAGATGTAGCAGAGCTCCCGGCCTGACGCTTTGACCAAGGGTGTGTTGTTGTGCTTGATAAAAACAGTCACAACTACGCATGTACACATAAAGCCCAGGCAGGCAATGGTTACTGGACCAATGGCCCAGGCATCTTCCCACCTGATGTAGTCCTCTGGAAGGTTAAAGCAGGCAGACAGGTCTGCAGTGGGCCACTGCCCGAGGCCGCAATCCATGCAGGTAAACTCGTCAACCAGGTATTCGTAGGGCTCGCAGGGGATACAGATCCAGCAGCAGACATCCCCTGGTTGCATGTTCTTCATTTCATTGGGGGCACACGGGTCACTGCACTGGGAAGTAGGGACTGAGCTCCGGGACCAGTGGATAGAGTCAACATCTAGTGATAAGGTTTCTGCCCAGTGACCAACCTTTAAGTAGGAATACTTGCCACCCACGTTCTGGAAATTGAACACGTTGTATCGTCCCATGCCATCTCCAAAAGTGTCAAACTTGACAATGCTATCTGCACCTTTGTTTGGGTTGAATGGAGCTGTGACATGTAAAGTGAAAGAAAAACAAAGAACACTGTTTAGGTATCTTAGCTGTGATCGATTACTTCATGTTACACACTTTGCAAAACTGAAATAACAGGGAATAGGGATTCCGAGGCTGAAATAACTTACTACTGTTGAATTTACACATTAAAAGCTACTAGAGGATTCATGTATTCATAAATTCATCCACTTAACATTTCTGCGTACCTCCTGTGTGCCAAGCGCCAGGGATTAATCATGAACATAATACAGAGACTACTTTCAAAGGAGCTTATTACGTAACAGGGGAATTGGCAAACACATGGTCATATTGTATGTGCTGTGCAAATATTCACTTCTTCAAAGATTTCACAGTAGCAATTGGGCAAAGCCTTGTGTCTCATCCTTATTGCTTATTTGTGGTGTATAGACCCCAAAATGTTACACGTTTTCATGACAGTACAAAATTAATAGGAAGAATTTTTCTCCAAAATGCAGAAAAAGTTTTTCATCATAAATGTGTGGTACACTTCTTTTTTAAACCACTTTTGTAAACTGAAGTATTACTGACATGCAATGTTACCTTAGTTTCAGGTGAACAATATAATGATTCAACAATTCTTTAACATCACTGCTCATTATGGTAAGTGAGTCATCAACTGTCCCCATACAACGTTATTATAATATTATTGACTCTATTCCCTCTGTTTACCTTGGATCACCATGAATTATTTATTTTATAACTAGAAGTTTGTACCTCTTAATCCCATTTTGTACCTTTAATCCTCATCCCCTCACTCCTCTCCCCTCTGCAATCACTAGCTCTCTGTATTGAAGAGTCTGATGTGTGTTTGTTTTGTTTTTAAGATTCCACATATAAGTGAAATCATATGGTATTTGTATTTCTCTGACGTATTTCACTTCACAGAATACCTTCAAGATCCATTCATGTCACAAATGGCAAAATGTCTTTTATTAACTCTTTTTATGTATAATTGCATATATCAATGCCACATCTTCCTTATCCATTCATATATCATTGGACACTTGGGTTGCTTCCATATCTTGGCTATTGTAAATAATGCTGCAATAAACAGAGGGGTTCATATATCTTTTCGAATTAGTGTTTTTGTCTTTTTTGGGGAAAATACCCAAATAGTGGGATTACTAGATCATATGGGGATTCTCGTAATTTTTTGAGGAACCTCTATGTTTTCCATGGTGGCTGCATATGGTATGCTTTAAAAAAGCGCATGTGATTCAGAAGGAAAAAAATGGAAACCCACCCATAATCCTTTAACCTTAATGTTTTTGTATTTTTGGGCATATTCATGCTATATATTATATACTCTCATTCATGTAAACATATGGTCTGGATACCTTGAAGACGCCAGTAGTATATAGAAGCTAGGTGACAGTGCTTTCACGTTGGTTCCTAACTGTACAGTAGTAACCCTTAGGCCAGTGACCTGCCCTCAAACCTCTTTCTTACAGCTTTCTGCAAGGATTCAAGAACAGCAACTCTCTTGTATCTGTGTTTCCTCTCTTCTGGCTACTTGTTCATTATATTTCTCTTGCCAATGTCTCCTGCCACTCCAATCAGCCATTTTTATGCTACCAGCTTTGGTCTACTATGTGCTTACTATTTCACACTGCCGGCCTTTATTCTTTCACTGGATGTAGAAGAAGAATATTACTGCTATCTACTGATGCATAGACAAACTCTACTAATTGGGATAGGCTTGTCTGTGTTGATAAACACACCCAAATTGTTCAATGGGAAAATGTTCAGTGGGAGAAGTTGACTTCTCCCTCATGAGGCCATCTAAGGTCTTGTTTGGTGGGCGTGTTCCCTCCACATGGTGATTTGGGAACCCAGCTTAACTTGCACCTTGAGGCTGGGTCTCCCTCTCATCAGTATCCATCCAGTGGAAGGAGAGAATGTGAAGTAGGCATACCTGCTTCCTTTTCTTTTTAATATTTATCTTTGAGAGATGGGGTGGGGAGAGAGGGAGAGAGGGAGCATACAAGCAGGGGAGGGGCAGAGAGGGGAGGAGAGAGAGAGAATCCCAAGCAGGCTCTGCAGTCAGTGCAAAGCCCAACTCGGAGCTTGAACTCACCAACCATGATATCATGACCTGAGCCAAAATCAAGAGTCAGACACTTAACTGACTGAGCCACCCAGGTGCCCCTACTTGCTTCTTAAAAAAAGTGTAAATGGGGGGAGAGGGCAAGACGGCGGAGAAGTAAGGAGCTCCGTACTTGCACTCGCGCCCATACATCACACAGAAAAGATCTGAAGACATTGGAAACCTTACAAAACCTGAGAGATTGGGAGAAAAAAGACGCAGAATCCACTGAGAGAGCCATCTAACCGGACTCCGGCTCAGAACACCCTGCGGGCAAGCCCCCGCCCATGCGCACCA